TCTAATATCACCTCTGGTGAGCTTTATAACGTTCAGATGTAACTGTTAGCATTTTGATTGATTTTGTTAAGTAGTGAGCGGATGTTCGCCGTTACATTGCACCCTTGTTCATTATGGTGTCCAACTACTCAACACGCTTACAGTACACGGAGGCTAGCCTGGGACTTTGGTGTGATATTTGAAATATTAATTTAAGTAGGTACTCTGCATTAATTGGTTTAATATGTGCTTCTACATAACCTTAAGCTGCAGTAGGTAATCCTCATAAAATATACCATTTTTGTCATTTTGCTGAAAACCTTGCTTTGTTCACGTACAGTCGTATGGGGAGAGGAGATCATCTGTGCATAAGAAATGAGACTTAGTGCCTCCTAAATGGCATTTACACGAACCCCACCGGCCTGAACCAAAACAGCCAATCAGAGCAGAGAAAGAATAGATGATTCTTGAGTCTTGAGTTCATAGGTTGGTCAAATATCTAATGGCAAGTGTCTCATGTACACTGTCACAGTATTTTAATAAAAGTTAGCTTACTGCCAGCTTTAAGTATGAATTACTAACTGTAGAGTGTGCCATATTAAAGCTGCAATTACTGAAGATACCATTTAAATATATTCACCTTAGAAGTTAATATGCAAACATTTGCTGGATTTACAGTGCATCTGCAAAAGTCATTCACCAGTGCTTACTTTTTCCACATTTTGCTTATGTTACAGCTTATTCATTGTTTTTCCCTTAAAATTCTCACATAGATTACACCATAATGACAACTTAAAAAAAGTTTGTTTTGAGATTTTTGCAAATGTATTAAAATTAAAAACAAAGAAATCACTTGTTACATCAGCTATTCACAGCCTTTGCGATCAAGCTCAAAATTGAACCATTGGTGCATTCTGGTTTCCACTGATCATCCTTGAGATGGTTTCTGCAGCTTAACTTGGTCACTTTTGTGGTAAATTCAGTTGCTTGGACATGATTTGGAAGGCACACATCTGTCTAATTATAAGGGTCCCACAGTTAACGTGCATGTCAGACCACAAAACAAGCCATGAAGTCGAAGGAATGACTGTGACCTCCGAGACAGCGGCAGGAACTAGAAGAAAACCTGCCTCCAGAGCGCTCTTGACCTCAGGACTGGGGCGATGGTTCATCTTTCAACAGGAACAACGACCCTAAGCACAGAGCCAAGATATCGAAGGAGTGGTTTCAGGACAACTCTGTTGAATGCTCCTCGAGGGGACCAGCCAAGAGCCCAGACTTGAATCCCCCTTGTAACATCTCTGGAGGATCTGAAAATGGCTGTGCACCGACGCTCCCCATCCAAACCTTGGATGGAGCTCGAGAGATTCTGTAAAGAGGAATGGGGCGAAACTTAGCCACAGATAGGTGTGCCTGAAGCTTGTGGCTTCACATTCCAAAAGACTTTGAGGCTGTAATGCTGCCAAAGGGTGCCACAACAAATATTAAGCAAAGGCTGTGAATACTTATGTACATATTATATTTGTTCTCTTTTTTCTAATAAACAAATTTGCAAACATTTAACAAAAAACTTTTTTCATGTTGTCATTATGGGGTATTGTGTGTAGACTTTTGAGGAAAAAATAAAGCTGTAACATAATGAAATGTGGAAAAAGTGAAGCACTGTGAATACTTTCTGTATGCCCTGTATATGTCCAGTTGCACATATGGAGCAACATTATCATTCACTTGGAGTGTCTCCAGCTGTCAGAGTGAACCAAAACAGTAAAGCTGTGGGCCACACCGATAAAACAATGAGCTGAAACTCACTCCTCGAAGACCCTTTTCACACATTGTCATCTAATACGCTGTATATCGTTATTAAAAGTATTGATTATAGCTGCTTTAAGTACTGCTGGGGACAAAGGTCGAGGCCTGGTGAGACTACCCCTGTGTCGCCTTTCAATCATCACCACTTTCTTGTCCTGTCACTCACTGCTGTCTGTGTGAGCTGGGTTCCTTCCCTCTGGCCCTACAGGTATGTGGGTGTTGTCCTGAGGAGTAGGGTGTGTGTCAGACACACCCACTGCAAGCATGAGACTGAGCAGCATGCTTAACCAAGTTCTTCCTGCTGAGGCGTGAAAAAGTGACATGGTTTAAGATGCCTCCAACTCCCACAACCCATTTTATTGTGAGCATAGAGCGTGTTTGTGTTTTGTGCTGAATGAAGACTGTACATGCACTGTAGTTTTGCATACCATCTTTTTTATCACACTTTTTTTTCTGTTCTTTTTGGCAGCAGGTGAAGTTTTCACACTAGACCTTGACTCTTCATTTGCTTCAGGGGTAATTTTACAGGGTGTGTGTGTGATAACAACTGATACTAGGAAATGAATATGCTCTGGGTTTCAACCCCTGAGGTTGCATAGTAATTTAATCTGCCAATTAATGAAGACACATTGGGTTTGTTACTGATACTCTTATCTCAAAGACAATTTAAACCTTTTCCTGTAGTGTTATAACGGCTAACACTGACTAACAGCTACTGTACTTTACTATTCTGATACTGTACAGATCATAACCCACTTAATAAGAATAAGTTATAGATTTATTTGTTTTGGTACTCCCGTATGTCATTAATAGCGATAAGACATATACAAATCTAAATTAGATTTTTTTAAATGTTTTATTTACACTGGTAACAAGATACTTAATTTCAGTTCAGTATTTCTCACAAAAATAGTAGTGAAATTTATTATCATTACTGAACACCACATTGTCTAAAATAATTCAGACTTTTCATGGCCATGGTCTAAAGTCAGCCCATACTCTGCTTTCACTAATGCCACAAAAAGAGGAACTAACTCATGTTGTTCTTTCTTGATTGCCTCTCCTACCACTTCTTGGCTTCTCAAATATGAATATTTTAGGGTTTCTCTAGAGAGTTGTAAACTGAATATCTTTGGTTGGTGGATATTTTATAGACCAAACAATTAATCAGTTAATCAAGAAAATGATTGAAATGAATGAAACGAAACAGCTTAATTGATAATGATAATAATCCTTAGGTGCAGCACTGTTCATGTCTAAATGAACCTGATGATCCAGCTGCTCTGCTACATTCCACCACAATCATACATATTGAAACAGTGAGTGCTTTATAATGCACTGCCATGTCTTGTGTGTTACATGGAGCTGATAACAGAGCTGTAGCTGTATCAGGTTCAGAGACCATTTCTATAGGCAGGTGTGAGTGTGTAGAGTTAGAAAAACCCACTGGTGTAATAAACTCAAGAGCATAATGAGGCTCTTTCAGGGTGGATCTCCTGTTCCCTGATCATGCTTTGCAAATAAAAAAACCCCACACATTTGAGCTCCTAGAATCTAAACTCAGAGCGAGGGCTGTGAGGGATCGTGGAACAGGTCCGCCCGGTCTGCTACTCCGCTGCTTTTACTGACGACACACCTGCTGGGCTGGGAGGAGCTGAGACAGGTGGACGCTCCTTAACTGGGGTGGTGGGGGGGTGGGAGACGCCACAAGAGACAAGAAGGAGAGAGAGGAAAGAGGAGAGAGTGAGTTGGAAGGAACACACTCGGACTCAGATTACAGAAACAGGCCTGAACGGTCTCCCAAGATGTCGAAGAAAAAGGAATACAGTCCTGTAAAGATCAGCAAGTGAGTTCTGTCACCTACCTCTATGTGTGTGTGTGTGTGTGTGTGTCAGATTTCCTAGTCTTATGTTGTCCCTTGTTTTGTGTCCTCTCTTTGCTGCCTGGCACTGCTTGTTTCTCCTGAAGGGCTGACCTGAAATCTGCTTCATGCTGCATTGTTGTACCATGCTCCCATTTGTGTTTGCACAGGAGAGAGTTGATTTATGTCCCTGGACAATAAAATGTGCTCCTGCTGCCACATAAAAGCAACATCGGTCTGACTGTTAAAATACATTGTATGTGTTAGATACTGTCCTTCATTCATAATCATTCCATTAATATGATGTCTTGTCCCGTACAAGTTACAATGTTGTGTTGAGTGTTGCCTGACTCCTGTACTTAACCACGCCACATTTATTTGTGTCTTTGCCCAAAGGGTGTATCATCAAAGTGTACTGACTCACGTAATCCATATCTGGTGCCACTCAATAGGCCAGTGTTCTGACTCATGAAGCTGATGGGTCAACACTGCGCCTTTAAAGCTCTATGGCTTGTTGTCATTGTAGTGGAAGCTGTGGTTGTTTGAGTAGAGGAGTGAGTTGACTCATCCATCATGTTTTATGAAGGTACACATGGCCATAAATGTGTGGACTCCCAGAGGTTTGAGATTGTGCAACCTCTACCCCACTCCTCTCAAAGTAACCAAGCAGGTGTTGTTCCCCTCTAGGTGCAACATGTCACCCAGAGGGGTGGGGGGGGGCACACACGGTTGATCATTAGAGCGGGGTGTGCCAAGCTGCCAGAGGCTGGAGATTGTTACTGACAGGAGACAGGAAGGGCTGAGGGAGTGGCAGGGCAGGGTCTCTCTGTTGCTAGGTCTGTTTGTCCTAATCA